CTTCTATCTCGTTATCTTACTACTAAATCTAAAATTGGTCTTGGACTCGCCTGCCTCCAAAACCCCAGGTCAGAGTCCTCCCTCCCTCAAATCCACATAGACACGAGTAGGATAAACGTTGTCTTTATCTGGCCATATCCATCTCCGACAACCTCCGCGCGAGTCCTTTTTCTATTAACCTCATATCCCACTAACTCTTATCCTAATCCGACCGCAGATTCGGGCTCTCCAGCCCTCAAAACCCTTAGTACCTAGACTTTCTCCTAGGCCAGTCTCATCAAGAACCGAGCAGGCCATCCATTTTTCTTTCCGCCATGTCAAGTCACTTCGACGTTATCTCCTCCCTCCTTCCTCAAACGTACCCTGGCATGAATTCACATCCAGGTTCCTACCTCTTTTCGTGCCTTTGAACTAAGTCTTCTCCTTGTCAACCTTCCTATCGAGCGCTCCGTCTCACTATCGCGTAGTGGACTGCTCATCACCTTTGGTATGAGCTGAACTGCGAGCTAACCGAGATGCTGCAATGACTGTCAATTGAAAAACAACAGAAAGCGGCAGTCATGATGGCCGAAAAGATCGCTAAGGAAATCGTGAGACTCGTGTCCAGCGATCGGGACGGTTTCAACGCCAGGTGAGTAGACGAGTGGGGACCCGCTGCAAAGCCTGTAGCCAAGGTCTTGAGAATACAGGTCCTGACACAGATCGTGGTCATAGTAGTAAATAATCCCATAAAGACTTTGCAGGCCGGAGTGAGAGGGGTTCCATACGACCAACTGGGTGCCCAAACACAGCCTACGGCCTCCGCCCCTGTGCCTTCGGGCTACCTTGCCCTGCATATTTCGCCCTCTTTCAAGTCTTCAACCGACATGCTTACGCCCAAACCTTTTAACAGCGGACCGCGGCTGGCGGAGGTGCACCCGTGGCAACCCCCGCCACTCAGGTTTTCTTCCGCTTTGTGGGCTAACTAGTAACCACCCACTGGCTGGCATGTGCATCGGTTTCCGGTGGGAACGAGGACCCTCACCAGCATCCCAAACACGCAAGGAACCCATAGGTCAATGAAAAGGAGGCTCGTGCTCAATGCCCTCGATCGCCATGAAGTCCTCCAAATCCAGCGTCGTGCCCAAGTAAAATAGCACCGGAGCAAAAATAATAATAATACAACAATAAAAAATAAAAATATTTAGAAACTTTTAATCGGTAATGAGCGACTGACGAGAAAAAAGACCCGTTGGCACTGCTCCCCGACTCCGTCGACGGCAAAACCAAAGGGGATAGCCCCACTGGGCCCTCAACCCTTCTGTCCCTTTGTGCTACCCTGATATCCTCGCACCGTCGCCGCTCGATCTCGATCCCTGAATCTCTCTNCCCACTGGGCCCTCAACCCTTCTGTCCCTTTGTGCTACCCTGATATCCTCGCACCGTCGCCGCTCGATCTCGATCCCTGAATCTCTCTGATGAAAATTTGACGCTATAACCCATAGGGCTAGGCCCAAGGCAGGGTCTAGCTTTGACGGAACTGGGTTTTTGACAGCCTGTGGCGAGCCTCTAAGGGTGTTGCTCGCCACTCCACTTACTATCCAAAATGTACCTTCGCAAATCACTGTAGAGTTGTCAGATGGCACCCCGGCCCCTCCCGATTCATTATACGATCCCGTATAGTTCCCAGCCTGCAAAAGTCGTTACTCGGAGGGTGTTTGAAGGAGGTCAGCGTTCTACCACGAAATCGTATGGAGCACCTGGAGTCTGGGCGGACAAAACTGCCACTTTTGTGTTCTTGTGGAAATCCACGCTATACAGTTTTATATAGTGAGCCCATTGCCCTGGTACCTGGTACCTGGAACCGGTCCTGCGCAAAGGATGACCACGGCCAAAACGCCCCGCCCTCCACATTCCACCACAACCGTGCGATGGAAAAACCGAGAGGCCCACGGACTTTTGCAGTTGGTATCCCCCCGTTCGTCGACACGTACCCTTTCCTGGCGGATGTTTGTGGGACCTCCTCGGGACAGGCCTCACCCAGGTTCCATAGTTCATGATAGTTTCTATCCCCTTGTTCGACGACACATACCCTTTCCCGCCAGATGTTTGTGGGACCTCCTTGGGACAGGCCTCACCCAGGTTTTATATGTTTTTCTGAGCTCGTGACAGCTATACGGCCGCAGATAGTAGTGGAGCAAGACCCTAATCCGGGTTGCAAGACCCTAAGCCGGGTTGTAACCGCTGTTCCCAAAAGGAAAAAAAATGCATGCGGATGTCATAACTACCAAGGCCGCACTCCAATCAAAAACAGCAAAATAAAATTTACAGCTATTGGGCCTGGATGCACTTCAGTAACTCTCCAAATGTGCAAAATGAGAATGGAACTTCCTCTAGAACGTGGAAAAATACATTACCATTTTTGTCTTTTGCGCATGTGGAGAGTACTGCAAGGAGGCCAGCTATTTTTTTTCTTTCTTTTATTTATAACTAATCTATATTCTTCTCTCAGGGCATACTCACACGGTGACCCCAAATCCGCAAAATATGCAGATTTGGGAAGGGCCGATTTAAGGTTTTGGGCATGGTTCACATCACACTGCTGTACCTTTTCAGATGGGACAAGACATTTACGAATTTGGTAGATCCGTGTGACCGGCCTTTTCCCTTTTTTTTGGGATTTTGGGATTATTGGTCCCGGTCTGAGTATGCCCTCAATCTTGTTTGTATATATTTTCCTCATCTATCTCATCCTCTCGCTACTCTTATTTTTAGTCGTACAGGGGACCGCCAACCACACCTGGAACCTGGAACTCTCCCCAGCCCACGGGCCCACAGGCCCACAGGGTAGGTTGGGACCACAGCAGTGGTGCGAGAGCAAGGCTTGTATCAGAGCCCCTCTTCACTATGAGGAATTATCCGCTTTTTGCCGTTCCAAAGCCGGGCCGAGACAAAACTCCCAGTACACGCAAGTGGCATTCAGGAGGTCTTGGGTTCAATCCCCATAATTTGGCCTCATGTACCTTCCTGGGCAAACTTGGCGCCCTCCACCTAGAGATATTAGGTTGTTGGTCCCCTTGAGTGGCATTGACCAGACTCAGCAGAAGACTGCTGATGTTCATAGTGGGAGCAACGGGGAGGGGACCAGAGGGGAGGCCCAGCGACTGGCCCATCGAAGAGATCGGTCCTGATGCTACCGGCTGACCCCTGGTCCCGAGTGGCATTGAGCAGAGACTGCAGGGGAGGCACAGCAACTGGCCCATCGAAGAAGCTCGGTCCTGATGCTACCGGCCGACCCCTGGCCAGTATCGCCCACCTGCTGTAGCAGGTATCGCACCTGCTGCTGGTAGGTGCAGCTCCCGCATGTTCCCTTGTTGGAGGCCTGAGCGCGGACGTGGCTGCTCGGGGTTCCCTGTAATAGTAAATGACAATAAAAGAAGGCCTGAAAGGCCGTCATGTCCAGATTCGACAGGTAATTGAATTGGTTGGCACCAACTTGAGCTTCAAAGAATTCGCCTTCACTTAAAAAAAAAAAAAAAAAAAAACTGCCAGWACCGTTTTTTTTCCCAAAAAAAACATTTWTKACCSAAAAAAAAAAAAAAAAAAAAAAGCCAGGAAACGGGCATCCCTTACAAAAAGAAGGCGGTCCCTTACAAAAAGAGCCTAGCTCAGTGGGGACACCCATGAACTGTTGAAATACAGAGACGTGTGTTCGAATCCAGATGATGGAAACTTGACGAGTAAAACCAACTACTAATGAATTGCTTGGGGCCGGTCAGCTCAATGATAATATCTCAAGGCCGTCGCCCTTTCTCCGAAAAAAAAAAAAAAAAGAAGGCGGTGACCGTCCTGTTTGCTGGTGAGACATCACAGGTCAAACCCGAAAACAGGACCTGCCAGTGTCTCTGCAAATTCGAAACTAAAAATGTGACTGCCTTCCTTGTGTTGTTTTGAGAAAATTAACATGTTTATGCCAAAGGGCCTCCCTCCACCACTGCCACTGTGTGTCGAAACCAGAAAAAAACGAATGCATCTTCCCCAGAAAGAGGTAAGAATCGTAAGATGCATCCTTTGCTATTTACAGTAGTAGATGCATCTTGCCACTCTCTGCGTGAAGATGCACTATAGCTCTTTCTATCTGATTCAACCAGGATTTGTACTCAGAACCTGTTCATTACCAGCTCCATGTGTGTCTCATTCAGCCCCACAGGGCCCAGGCTGGTTCCAGTTTCCCAATTCCCACCCGCAGTATTTGACCACACAACCATCAGAGCCAAAAAAAAACAAAAAAAAACTTTGTACCAAAACACATTTCAGCAAAAGGGAACAGTGATCAGAGAACGAGAACGAGAACGAGAAATGAAAGTCGCCCAGAATATGTCGCAGCAGTGGACTTTGTGCCGAAGCCTGGAGTAAGTCCTAAAGGGGTGCAGGGGACCGGAAGTTGGGAACCCAACAAAAAAGGGGTCATGTACCATTGTACCCCACAAAGGGGCAGGTAAACTTATCCAAGTCTGCAAATGACGATAAGAGAAAGAATGCATCAGCACCGAACTGAACAATCGGACTTACTTCGACGATGGCTACGGAGTACGGAGGGAATTCGCCAGAGTGGGTATTTGTGAGGGTGCGTCAGTGTGTGTGGAGAGAGAGAGAGAGAGAGAGAGAGAGAGAGAGAGAGAGAGGTGCCTGAGACGGAGGGAGCGATTACGCTTGGCCGCACGAGAGAGAGAGAGAGAGAGAGAGAGAGAGAGAGAGAGAGAGAGAGAGGTGCCTTAGACAGAGAGAGGTGCCTGAGACGGAGGGAGCGATTACGCTTGGCCGCACGAGAGAGAGAGAGAGAGAGAGAGAGAGGTGCCTTAGACGGAGGGAGGGATTACGTTTGGCCGCACGAGAGAGAGAGAGAGAGAGAGAGAGAG